AAAAACAGACAAAGTTATTTTATTGCAGTGATTAATTCTACCTACCCTATATGTAGAAAATGTTACATTTACATCACATCACATCATGGATCAGTCAGCAGCAGCATCTGATCAATATGTGATCCATGATGTGATGTAACTTTTACGGTGGATTGCATCAACTCTGTTACATTACAGACGGGAAACTTCACCAAAGTGAAACATAAATCTGTGGATCTGTGTTTGATTACTCTGGCTGGCTTTCTCAAGAACCAGGATGTGACACAAAAATCTGAATTATGGAAGTGAAACTGAATTATAGAACTGAAAGTGAAAGTAGTCAAACTGAAATTTTTAATAAACCAAAACACAGTTTCAAAGCAAATTAATTCAGATACAAAACTTTRAATTCAGTTTCAATTTAGTGAAATTTATTTTCAAACCAATGCATTCAATTTCAAATTCTGCACATTCAAATTCAATTCCTGCTGGCACAAGATTTATCCCATAGTTTTCAGCTCTAAAACATGTAAGGGGTGAACTTTAATTAAAACTTAAAATTGGAAGCTGAAATCTATCCTTGTGTGAATTTTATTTATTTATTTATTTATTTTCTGACACAGATGAAGGAAAAGAAATGTACACAAACCTGCTGTTAAATTTCTGAGGGTGTTTTTCTCGCATTGTGTGAAACCGGTGAGCAATAGAGGCATCCTGTCAAAGCAACACAACAAAACAATGAGCAGCACACCAAACAATCCTACCAACTGAAAACAAAACACTTCCCCTTGTGTGGCTTGGTTTTTGAGAAACTCACAACTCCAATTGAGAAGTAGTTGTTGATGATTTCATAAGGGACAGGATCCCCCTTCTCCTGTATCTCATCTGGTATAACCTGCACATTCCAGCGGTCCATCTGCACCTCACAGCTGCCCTCGATGTCTTTAAGAATACGACCTAAATCTTCACCATCATACCCTTGAAGGGAGCAGTGAGAGAACAACAGTGAAAAAATGTTGCGCAGTTTAGGAGGTACGACAATTTCAAGTAATTTTATCTTCCTAGGAAACCTCTAYCTCACCTCCACCCCAACGCAGACATCGTGCAAGGTCATTTCCTGTGCCCAGAGGAAGCACAGCAACGGGTGGCTGTGTCTGAAGATTGGCTTTGTCTGATTGCAAGACATTACAAAAAGAAAACAGGTAAAGATGAGGTGTGTTGTAATACTATTCCACATTTTACAGAAACTGACCTGACAAGCTCACCTATTGCATCTAGAATCCAGCCGACTGTACCGTCTCCACCGCATACCAGGATTCTGTAGTCCTGCAGGTTTCTGAAGAAACTCAGCCTGAAAAAAAAAAAAAAACAGATGATGATGATGAGAACTACAAGACGTCACAGGACTAAATAAGTTCTCACGACTATGTGCTCTAAAAAGATACCCACCCTGGTCCAGGGCCACCATTTGACAGGTTGTAAACCTGCCTTGGATTCAGCAAATACTGAAACTTGCGCAGGACTCTGAAATAGACATGAAGCAAATCTTAATCTGCTCATACTGCACATTTGTTTCTTAATCTTTCTGGGCTCACCTTTCTCCCTGTTTCCCACCACTTTTAGGATTGACAAACACTAACAGAGGATGGGTGTTTGGCACAGGGCTGATCTGTTGATGTATGAACAACTTCTATTTACTACTACAAACATTAACATAACAAACCATCCACTTATTCACAGTGTCGTTTCCAACGCGTTTTTTTGTGTTTGCAATAAGGGACCCACCTGAAGCACTTGTCCATCCGGAGTAATATTGATGTCACTGTCATCAGCTGACCCTGAGCAGCCATTCTTCACATTGTTTGGTCTCTCCTTTTGGTTGGAAAAAACACAGAAATAAAACTGTAAAAAAAAATCTAACAGCACTTCTGCCACTTCGAGGGTAGGAGATGAAGTGCCTACGCAATGTATAAATTAAAGAGCAACGCTGAGGACGCACTCACCAAAAAGAAACAGCTCAGACTGATATGACGTTCTGTGTGTGTGTGTGTGTGTGTGTGTGTGTGTGTGT